GCAGTCGGATGCGATGGGCAATGTCATCTATCGGCGTGGCCGTAAGCCCGCTCCGCCCGCCGAGCCATCCACCTCCGCTGTTCCTCGCCGAGGGCGCGGCGTTCACCTCGAAAGCAGGCAGCCCCTCCTGCCCAGGGCGCCGTTAAGTCCGGTAAACGGACCGCGAAGCGTCCCTGAGACAGGCCATCCGGAGAAGAGGAAACTTGCTCTTTCCCCGCTGGAGGCTGGGGCCCCGATAACAACGGTACTTTTCAGTGCCACCAAAACATCAGTAAAAGAGCACTTTTTCCCTTCCCCGGATGTGACTGCACGAGTTCTGCCAGTCCGGGACGCGCTGCCTTCCGGCTCGCAGACTCTACGTGCTTCGCCAGTGGCTCACGAGTGCTGGGGGGACGGTCTCCCTTCCCTCAGCCCTCCAGCCCCCTCTCCGGAGTCAGGGTGCGGAGCCAGAGCGAATCGCTCTCCTCCAGCTCTTCCGCGGGACCCTCGTGCTTCCCGGATCAGCACACCCACTCCGCGCTGCCCCACCGCTGGTACGTCAGCGATTGTAGCGATGACTTCATTAGCGAGGGCTCTGCCTGCCTGGTTAGCGCGGGCCAGCCCCTCGCGGTGGCTCATACGCACAATCAGACTCGGTTACGAAATTCAGTTCGCGAAACGGCCCCCCAAGTTTACGGGCGTGTATTTCTCCAGGGTCAACCCCCTGTCCGCCCCTGTCTTGCGAGAGGAGATTGCTGCCCTCCTGGCGAAGGGTGCAATCGAGCCGGTTCCTCCAGCCGAGATGGAGAGTGGGTTTTACAGCCCATACTTCATCGTACCCAAAAAGAGCGGTGGGTCACGGCCAATCCTAGATCTGCGCGTTTTGAACCGCTGTCTGCACAAGCTGCCGTTCAGAATGCTCACGCAGAGGCGCATTCTCCAATGCGTTCGTCCTCGGGATTGGTTTGCAGCCATAGACCTGAAGGACGCGTATTTCCATGTCTCCATTCTTCCACGCCACCGCCAATTTCTGCGGTTTGCGTTCGAGGGTTGAGCGTGGCAGTACAAGGTCCTCCCCTTCGGGCTCTCTCTGTCTCCGCGGGTCTTCACCAAACTCGCGGAGGGTGCCCTAGCGCCCCTTCGGCTCGCGGGCATTCGCATACTCAGTTATCTCGACGACTGGCTGATTTTAGCCCACTCGCGGGAGCAATTGATTATGCACAGGGACGAGGTGCTTCGGCATCTCCGCCTACTGGGGCTTCAGGTCAACCGAGAAAAGAGCAAACTCGCCCCCGTGCAGAGGATTTCTTTTCTCGGGATGGAGCTGGACTCGATCACCATGGTAGCGCACCTCTCCGAGGAACGCGCTCGCCTGTTGCTGAACTGTCTGAGGGAGCTCGACAGCAAACTAGTGGTCCCACTGAAGTTCTTTCAGAGGCTCCTGGGGCATATGGCATCCGCAGCCGCCGTCACGCCGCTCGGGTTGCTCCATATGAGACCACTTCAGCACTGGCTTCACGATCGGGTCCCCAGACGCGCATGGCACGCGGGCACACACCGGGTCTCGGTTACTGCGCTGTGTCGCCGCGCCCTCAGCCCTTGGAACGACCCCTCGTTCCTACAGGCCGGTGTGCCTCTAGGACAGGCGTCCAGCCATGTTGTTGTTTCAACAGACGCTTCCAACACGGGTTGGGGGGCCGTGTGTCGCGGGCATGCGGCTGCGGGCCTCTGGAAGGGTGCCCAGCTGCATTGGCATATCAATCGCCTAGAGCTGTTGGCAGTGTTCATCGCTCTCCACCGCTTTTTACCGGTGCTGAAGCGGCAACACGTGCTGGTCAGGACGGACAGTACGGCGGCGGCGGCGTATATCAACCGCATGGGGGGTATGCGCTCTCGCCGCATGTCTCAGCTCGCCCGCCGTCTGCTCCTCTGGAGTCACCCGCGGCTGAAATCGCTGCGCGCCATTCACGTCCCAGTCTCGCTCAATCGTGCAGCCGATGCGCTCTCACGACAGCTGTTACGCCCTGGAGAATGGAGACTCCACCCCGAGTCTGTTCAGCTGATATGGGCGCGATTCAGGGAGGCCCAGATCGATCTGTTTGCTTCCCCCGAGAACGCTCACTGCCAGTTGTTTTTTTCCCTGACCGAGGGCTCTCTCGGCACGGATGCACAGGCCCACAGCTGGCCTCGGGGCATGCGCAAGTATGCGTTTCCCCCAGTGAGCCTGCTCGCGCAGTTTCTGTGCAAGGTCAGGGAGGACGAGGAACAGGTTCTGCTAGTTGCGCCCCTTTGGCCCAACCAGACCTGGATATCAGAGCTCTCACTCCTCGCGACGGCCCTCCCCTGGCAGATCCCTTTGAGAGAGGACCTACTCTCTCAGGGACAGGGCACCATCTGGCACCCTCGCCCCGATCTTTGGAACCTCCACGTGTGGTCCCTAGATGCGAGGAAGACTTAGGTAACCTACCGACTGCGGTGGTTAATACCATCACTCAGGCTAGAGCCCCCTCCACGAGGCGCGCCTACGCCCTGAAGTGGAGTCTATTCACTGAATGGTGCGTCTCTCGCAGAGAAGACCCCCAAAATTGCCAGATTAGTGTTGTGCTCTCTTTCCTTCAAGAGAAGTTGGACAGCAGGCTGTCGCCCTCCACTCTCAAGGTTGCTTGGCCGCCATCTCCGCTTATCATAGCGCGGTAGCTGGCGGCACCGTGGGAAAGCATAACCTGGTCATCCAGTTCCTTAGGGGTGCTAGGCGAATTAATCCATCTCGCCCCCCTCTCATGCCCTCCTGGGATCTCACCCTCGTTCTCACGAGTCTGCGATCCGATCCCTTTGAGCCACTCGAATCAGTATCTCTAAGATTTCTGTCCCTGAAGACAGCTCTGCTGGTTGCGTTGGCCTCCATCAAGAGGGTCGGGGACCTGGAGGCATTTTCGGTCAGTGACTCGTGCCTGGAATTCGGGCCGGATTACTCTCACGTTATCCTGAGACCCCGCCCCGGTTATGTGCCCAAGGTTCCTACCACCCCCTTTAGAGATCAGGTAGTGAACCTGCAAGCGCTGCCCCCGGAGGAGGCAGACCCAGCCCTTTCTTTACTTTGTCCAGTTCGCGCTCTGCGCATTTATGTGGACCGTACTCAGAATTTTAGATCATCTGAGCAGCTCTTTGCCTGTTATGGCGGTCGGCAGCAGGGGAGTGCCGTATCGAAACAAAGATTATCCCACTGGATTGTGGATGCCATTTCACTCGCTTATTCGAGTCGAGGTCAGCCGTGTCCCCCGGGAGTACGTGCACACTCCACTCGGAGCGTTGCATCCTCTTGGGCGCGTGCACGCGGCGCCTCTCTAACAGACATCTGTAGAGCTGCGGGCTGGGCGACACCCAACACATTTGCAAGGTTTTACAATCTGCGAGTGGAGCCGGTTTCCTCAAGGGTATTAGGTAACCCTTTGGTGATTGAGGAGACAACTCGGTAGGGTGTTGAAACACGCTTGCGGCGCCCTTCTCCCTAACACGGAGGTACGTGCGCCTTTTTTATCTGTCAGTAAAGTTCCCCGTCAGGTGAGCCCTACAGATTCCTCCGTGGCCCCCAGCACTGACTCAGCGGAGGAGTCACTTGCTGGCCCACTACGTTGTAGGTCTGCCCGCTGGTCAGCCCGCGTTTTGGGTATAGGTGCCTGCTATGCGTGATCCCCACTAGGCGATCCCATATGCTTATTCCGCCACGGTTAAGTCCCCCCCCTGGGCGGACCCGTGTCTTCCCTCTCCGCTAACCACTCTTTTGCTATGCGTACTCCCCCTTTTTAGGGCTAGTCCATAGGTAAATTCTGCCATCTATCCCCCCCTTGGGTAACGGATGGCCTCCGCAGCGTCCTCCCTATCGGGATTGCACGCTTCCCAACGTACTGTCGTATTTCCTAGAATTATCTAGATGCTCACGACTTCCCAAAAAATATATCTAAATCCGTAAAACTTCTGTTGAAGTAGGATAAATTAGGGCCAGGGACACGTTGGAGGACCGCGCCCCCCATGATGTGGGTGCGTCACGCTTGCTTGACTATCTCCTCATCGGGGGTGTTGGTAAGGTGCAGTCATTGTGGCGCTTTCCATATTCTCCCATTCATGGCACTGAAGTTCCCCAACCGAAGGGGAACGTTCGAGGTTACAGAAGTAACCCTTCGTTCCCCGAGGAGGGGAACGGAAGTGCCATATTCCGTCGCCATAATGACTGTCCCTTAGCTGTTTGAAAGTCTCTTCAGCTTAAAAGGATGGTGTCTGCTGGCTTCAGGTGTGCTTATATGCTGAGATAATTGCAGATGTCGCACACCTGCGCAAGCTTACGCTGCCAATTAATTTCATTCATTGGCCCGTTCAATACTCTCCAGATAAGCGGCTTCTGATCCGAATCCTCCCATTCATGGCACTTCCGTTCCCCTCCTCGGGGAACGAAGGGTTACTTCTGTAACCTCGAACGTTTTGTTCTGAACATGAACAAAAGTCCTCATGAGGGTGAGTTAACAATGTTTTATATACTGTATAATAAACAGATCACTCAGACCATTAGGGTTAAGTAAATTGGAAATTCAGTCTCAAATTGAGTTCAGTCAAAGCAGGGTGAATCGGCCTTCAGCTACTGCATCCCCCGTTGATGGAATCAGCTTCCAGAAGTGATCAGATGTGCTCCAACATAAGGTACATTCAAATTAAGAGTGAAACACATCTGTTTAGCTGTGCCTTTACTGAATGTCCACTGTCCTACGTCCGACAGATCGTACTATTAAGTCTTTTTAACATGTCGTTTAACACATTTTAATCTATTTGTATTGGATTTTAATCATTTTTATTATTTGTTTTTATTTCTTATTGTTGTTTATTTTACGTTTCTGTCTTTTTTATGTAAAGCACTTTGAATTACCATAGTTTATGAAATGTGCTATATAAATAAACCTGCCTTGCCTACAAAGGGTATTTATATTTTACGTCAATACCACATTTGAATATTTAAAAGCATGCACGTAAACCTGAGGTGTAGTCCGGTGCTCGTTTCTCGCAGTTTGATCCATATGTTCCAGTCTGGCATATACAAAGGCACTCGGTTCCTGAAAGAGCCGGCCAAGCATTGTTCGGACAGGGGGCACATTTGCAGGAGTCAAATTCGGTCTGGTACTCCTCCAGTGCCCGCTGAAAGTGGCGTCTTTTTGTCACAGCACAAGAGATGCCCCGCACCAAATTCACTAAAGGCAAAAGCTGGATAAGACACAAACATATTAAAATCTGAGAGCCATTTATTGATGGTGATTTGCTCTTCTTTTCTCTCTTTTTAGATAAAAGGCTGCCAGTATGATTAGCAGGTTAATCCACAGCCATTTTCAAACAACAGAAACCATCACAGAAGAAGACTCCCACTACTAAAATTAGTAGTAAGTAGTAAAAAAGATTTTAGCCATTAAAAGTAGCACATGTTGATGATTTTAAGTGTGTTGTGGGACACATTACATTAGGATGTATTGATTTGAACACAGCACCAATAGAAGGCCAAATAGTTTCCATTAAAGCCAGTATTATTTCTATTATAACCATTAAAATATCACAGATTCCATGATGGCCTCTTTTGTTTTGTTTTTACAGAAAGGGCATTAAGGTTTGTTGCTCTTTCTAACCTCAAAATGAATAACCACTGGATTTTTTATAGTAGACTTGATCCAGTCTGTGATTAAAGGGCTCGCTGGTGAAACGCAGTTCTTCTCCCAGGCCAGTGCTGCTGCAAAATATGGATCTCCTCCTTGTACAGATGTGATACAGATCTTTGATGCTTTTACCATTGACCCTGGAGTGGACACACATTTATATAACTAAAAACATAAGCCTTGTTTGCGTAAATAGTACATTTGTATGTCTGTTACCTTCATATTTGGTTTTCATAGAAATATTCCCACAAGTGTTTTTTTGTGAATGTCTATTATAAAAAAATGTGACGAGTGTGTCATCATGAGACAAGCAGTACTCTGAGTCGCTTTCTTTAAGCCCTAAAAAGTGTAAAGATGTTTGGCTGATTTTAATAGCAAGAAATGAGAGGGAAACAATAAAGTCAAGTGAACACTAATGATGTGCCACAACCGCTTCCTATCCGATAATAATAATATCTACTTACCAAAGGTTTTCAGTTCTTCTCGATCGAATTGGAAAAGTAGCTCATACTTCCCTCCTAATGTCCCAGAGCTGAAATAATGTGTTCCAAACAGCTGGAATATATGCCTGTAAAGGGCGTAGTTGTATTCCAAGGGTAGGCTGCTTAGAAACTGAAGGAACTGATCTGATAAATAGAGGTCAGAGGATTTTACTTTGAATGTTGATGTTGCAATAACTTGATCCACGCGGTAAAACACAGAGTCCTGAAAAAAAGAGAGAAGATCTTTGCTTTAGATGTGAACATATTAATAGGGCATAAAAGCATCATTGTTTAAGAACCTTCACCTTTTGTTGAGATGCTTTCACTGCTTCCCTGTAAAGGGGTTCTTTGGCCAGATCGATTTTTTGGGATTTGGTTTCTTTTTGTTGAAAATCCTCAAAGGTTTCGATCTGGAAATCCCATCAAATAAAAAAGCCAGTCATAAAAGGGTTCATTTGAAATTAAAATGCTGTCCTAATTTAATCTAACTCGAGTCATTCCAAAACTAAATGTTTTTTGTTCTGAAAATAAAAGACATTTAATCAAATCTGAGAGATTCCTGTCCATCTGCTGAGATAAAAAATACATTAATATATGCATCAAGTAGGTTTTATCTTTAGTCTTTAAACCATAGGTCTCAAACTTGATACCTGGAGGGCCGCAGCTCTGCACAGTTTTGCTTCAACACTACTCAAACACAGCTGATCCAACTAATCAGGGTGTTCAAGAATACTAGAGACTATTAAGCAGGTGTGAGTTGGAGGTTAGTTGGAACTAATATTTGTAAAGCTGTGGCCCTCCAGGAATTGAGTTTGAGACCATTGCTTTAAACACTGACAAGTGAACGTAAAAGGATGTTTGACTAATTCTGCTTGACATGTGAACAGACTTCATTGGTTCTTGTTGAAGCTCAAATGTGCTGTGCGAATCCTTACGAATCAAGCAAGCATGCTAGAGCTTCAGTGACCAATAATGTATCTCTTTCACAAGACGTATGAAATACGTGAACATTTATATGCATATATGTATGTATTATATCATCTCTGTGTCAAATGACAAAAAACGAATTACCGCTTAGTTGAGTTGTTTTTAAAGCAACGTCTATAGGGCTGAGAGTAAATTTGACGTTGTTCACTCCTCTGGCTGTCGTTATCAGTCTCACACTTTTTTTCCTTTTATAAAGTCTTGGTAACACCATCCTGGAGTTTTTCTTTTATTATTTTAGCAAATAGAATATATATATATATATATATATTTGTTGTACTCTACCATTCACTGTTTATATCATAATTTAACCAACTATGACGACTGCCGCTGCTGAGAAACACGGAAATGGGAAAAGTGTCTATACATGACTGAATTTTAATCTGTTTTTGCTATAAAGCATGTGTTTTCAGAAGACATTAATTAAAACACTCTGAAGAGTTGGGAATGAATAGACATTAATAAAAGGACAGAAATCTCTTAGGTTAAAAATCTTTTATTTGACATCCAAAGATAAACAGAACTGTTATGGGTTTGCAAATAAAATACGACTGAGTTTTGATTAGTGGTAATAATTTTGTGACAAAACAATACAGCACCAATATAAAAATTCTGGCCACTACTTATAAGCAGATGATGATTGTTTTGACCAATATTTAAATATATTACTACAACAGTTTGGTCTGGTTCTTGAATCTAATTGGTTGATGGCTGTGCGATTTTCTGGAAATAACAGCACTCTTCACCCTTGTGTATTACTCCGCCCACATACAGAGACCATAGATATTTACATTAGATGTCGCCTATGCTATTGTTGTCCAATGGAAGCAATGCGTCAATATAACCGCCTTTTTACTACAAGGTAGCGCTCAAGGAAATGAATGTGGGGCCAAGGTGCAGCGGAGGACTGCCATCCAGAGCACAAGATATATACACATACATACATATATCTATGATCGGGAGTTTTCCCGGTGGTTCGAATGCAAATATTTTTTTAAATTACGAAAATTATAAGTTTATATCACTTTTCTACTTTGATGCATAAGTGATCACATGGGCATTGCCGACAAAGAGTGTGTGTTTGTGTGCATGGAAATATATTATCCTCTAAATTTGATCTAATCCATGTCTGCCTTCACTTCTCATTCTAACGAAGCGATTCATTTGTGAATGACTCCTATTCACTTAGCCAACAAAAAGACAAGTTTCCAGCACCTCAGCATCTTGTTGTCATATTTCATTTACATTGTTTGCTTATTTTATTCAACAAAACTAGCATAAGTCTAGTATTTAGTGTGAGTTGGTGCTACTTTGCCTTATGGTCAGTGCAGTAAGAGACTGTATTATTATCAATAACGTTATTTTTTGAGCACTAAAGTTTGTAACATACAAAAACGTGAAAAAACAAAATCTTACCTCTGAAATGTTCTGCCTTTATGGTTTGTTTGCTCGTTACTACACACGTACACAGTGCAAGTCCAGCATCTTCACATTGGCTTTAATCTTGAATAGTGCCGCTGAATGACATTTGAGCTGGGAGCACCGTACAAATGTGGCGACGCTATTGACACATGCTCAGGGTCAGTATGCTATATCTAGTGTATTTATCTTTGTACAGCGACAAGCCGAGCACACTCTACAGTTTGAAAAAATATTGCTGCTGTTGGACAACATAATGTACTTTTGATGCTGTTTTAGTTGAGAATGTAGTTGTTTAGATTGCAATTTAAAATGATAGCACAGATTTTAAAATATTTATCATTTTAGAGCATTAGATTTAGTATGTCGGCCGCCATCAGCCTGTCTGAGCAGACCAAAGAAAGTGACGGTTGATGTTACGCCACAAGATGGCAACAGAGTCCACATAATAAGTCCTTAGGGAGAAAAACAGCATTTTCTCAGCATAAGTTTCAAACTGCAGCTGAACAAATCATTATAAATCAGGTTTCAAAGTTGTATTTTTTGTATTTTGTATTGTTGTATTTATACCACAGAAACTGGTCGTGTTTGCTTTGCTCTGGCTTTTTCGGGGTTGATTATTGTGAAATCCCAATTGCAGCAGAGAAATACTGGGAAATTTCTGTAGACTGATGACACTTCATGCCGTTCATCCTTACAATCTAAAACTGAGAGTAAAAATCACCTGTTTTGTCATCACTTTAGATATTATGCTAGACAATCATTTAAATACTAGCTTTACAGTGACGTTTGTGAACAGGCAACGGTTTCTGCCGTTCTGACATCAGCTGCAGATTTGAATGAGTGAAGTAAGAAAGTAGTTCCTCATACAAAGGCGTTTTTGAGACTGTCCCGTGTTTGATTTTCTTTTTTATACACACGATTACGCTGTCAAATTTTTGTATAAACGCACACCTCCCACCAGTGTCAATATGTAACCATATCGCACTGCTACTCATGTGATATTGCTCACATAAATGCATAAAATGAATTTTTATCTATGCTATTTTGCTGTGAAAAGCTAAATAAATAGCTCCCCCTACACAAATTTGGCACTGCAAGATGATGAATGTACTGTTCAAAACACTATGAATTATTCCTTTTAAAATTCTTTATAAGAACTATTAATAAAGATTTTTTGCAATTCTTATTAAATAACCCATATTAGTTAATATGTGTTTAAATAGAGCAAAAATGATAATTATAATTTTATAATAATAAATTATAAAAGACAACTCAAATACTTGCATAAAATGATTTCTTTCTGACCTTGAGTTCATATCTCTCAGTGTTGGCTGAGATTCTGTAGAGGTTCCTCTTTAGTTTTTCTACAGTACAATTACTTCCCATGAACGAGTTGTCCAGAACAGCACCTCTCATCTGCTCCGCTGCAGCATCAAATCTGATTTAATCATTAAAATTTTAATCATTATCAGTTTTAAATCAAGCACATTCTCTGATATCCAGAGATGCTTTGCTGACAACACCCTAAATGTTTTCCATTTAGCTGTTTTGCGGTCTCAGAAAGTAAATGATCTCAATCTGTAACTCACCCAAAACCAATCTGGTCTGCTCCAGGGACGAAAGCATACATCTGCTGATTTGAACACACACTTTTATTGCGCTCACAGTCTCTCTCATCAGAGTTGTCACCACAGTCGTTCTGATCGTTGCATTGCAGATCAGCATGTATACATCTTCCTTTGGTGGCAAAAAAAACAAGTTGGTTGTCCCAAGTTTTCTAGAACACTGCATTGAAGGACTGTACAAACTTGCTAGATCAGCAGATTATGTAGCAGAAGTTGCTGATGTACCAGTGTCACAGGTGAACTTGTCTTTACAGTTCAAAGGCTCAATCCTGCATTCCTTGAAAGGATGACAGACTCTTTCCTCCATAAGAGATTGACTGCAGTTGGCTCCTTCGAACTGAGATGGCCTCAACACAGACCTGATTCTGAACTAAATCACAAACAGCACAATATTCTGAAAAACAACATGGTTTAGAGCAGTGGTGGCAAACTCAGTTCCTGAAGGTTTAACATTTAACTTTGCATGAAAATGTGACAGGATAGACATTAATACACACTGCTGTATGGATATCTTTTATGTTTATGTAGAAAATCAACCTGATTTAACGTTCACAAACCAGGATAGAAGGGTCTTCTTTTATAATTGTACTGACATGCGGCTGTGGTGATGAAGCAAAGATGGTAAATTCATTACAAAAATGCACTGTTTTAAAAACCTTTTAAACTTGTAAAACTCAATCTTGATCACATTTGATGATGATTGATGATCACAGGGTGCTGAACCTTTAATTCCAGTTGCTTTGTGCATGTCCTGTCTTATTGATATTTCAAGAGTTCACACTTAGCTGATAATCAATAAAGCGTATTTGGCATGCTGTCCCGGGAGAGAGCCCTGAGCTCGTAATATCCTCGAGCCCGGGGCTCCCTCCCGTTAGAAGGGCGAGAGGGGAATTCGAGGTCAGGTAGGTCTCGAGAACTCCCCTGCTTGTCACCGTGAGAAGTGTAAACTCAGGTTGTATTGGGTGATAATTTGTTTTAGTCGATTGCTATGGTTTATGTTTTTGGACGGTGGGAGGAACCCGGGGAAAACCCACGCGAACACGGGGAGAACATGCAAACTCCACACAGAAACACCAACCAGCCCGATGGGTTGGACTAGCGGTGTTCTTGCTGTGAGGCAACAGTGCTAGCCACTGGGCCACCGTGTCGCCCGATCAGAAAAAGTGGGAGGATGTAGGGGTGGAAGGGGGGGAGCTTCAAGACAAAGATAACTGGAGTGGAAAACTCAGGTTATTTATAATGCTTCCGTAATCATCTAATAGGGCTGATTACGGAGCTAACAAGGAGCCAGCCGTGTTGATTATAAGCACGTGATCCTCTCGAAATTAGTTTATGAATAAACCACACTTCAAGAGTTCACACTTAGCTGATAATCAATAAAGCGTATTTGGCATGCTGTCCCGGGAGAGAGCCCTGAGCTCATAATATCCTCGAGCCCGGGGCTCCCTCCCGTTAGAAGGGCGAGAGGGGAATTCGAGGTCAGGTAGGTCTCGAGAACTCCCCAAAAGGCAAAGGTTTTCATCTCGGGACAGCAGCCGCGTATTGAAGTGCCCCCCAAAAGGCGAGAGGTCAGTGCCATATCCGGCTGCTGAATGTAAATTGAAGTGAGATAGGTTACTGCAGGAGAAAAGTTGAAACTGATTCTTAGGAGAGGCTGGGGACTCTGTTGGAGTTGGGTTCGGGGAGGCAGGGTTGGGAGCCTAACGGAAGAAAGGAGAGTAGCAGAGGGATTTGGTGCTAGAAATAGGAAAGTAGCGGAGTAACTCAACGCTGAAAGAAGAAAAGTAGCGGAGGAACTCAACGCTGGGAAAGGGGAATGTAGTGGGTAGGGGAGAGGGGGTGGAGAGACGAGCGGAAGCATTCGACGCTGGAAGGAAGTAAAGAGGATGCGGAGGAACTCAACGCTGAGAAGAAGAGAGCATGAGATGCGGAGGAACTCGACGCTGGAAAGGTAAAGAAAAGAAACCTATGGGGATCAGAGCTCTGGGTCAACTCCGTGGGAGTTAGAGCTGTAGGATTGGACTACTACAGGAGTCTGGGAAGGGAGGGAGAGGTGGAGACTCCTGTAGGTGGTGGGCTGAGCAGGACTCCGGGGGAGTCAGAACGTGGGAAGACTCCTTGGGAGTCAGATTGGTGAGTGATGTTTTTGAAATATGGAAAGAGTAGCGGAGGAACTCAATGCTGAAAATAGTAAAGTAGCGGAGAAACTCAACGCTGAAGAAAGAAAGTAGCGGAGAAACTCAACGCTGAAAGGGGGATTGGGAGTTAAAGGTGGGGAGAGGAGAGAAGTTGTAAGAGGGGGGAGAGGAAAGAGCGGAAGCATTCGACGCTGGAAGGAAGAGAAAGAGATGCGGAGGAACTCAACGCTAGGGAATATAGGACAGGAGATGCGGAGGAACTCAACGCTAGAAGGTAGGAAAGATGCGTATTTGGCCGGGGTGAGAGAGAGAGGGGAGGGGGGACTCCGTGGGAGTCTTAGCTCTTGGGGTAACTCCGTGGGAGTTAGAGCTGAAAGATTAGGCTCCTACAGGAGTCTAAATGGGGAGGGGGTGGTGGAGACTCCTATAGGAGGTGGGCTGGGCAGGACTCCGGGGGAGTCTAAGCTTAGACTGGAAAGGTAAGAGTAGCAGAATACTCAACGCTAGAAGGAAGTGATAGTAGCGGAGCAACTCGACGCTGAAAAAGAAAAGAAGCGGAGAAACTCGACGCTGGAAAGGGGGTAGGGAGTAAAAGATATTGAGGAGGTGGGGGGAGAGTGGGAGGGGATGGAGGAAAGAGCGGAAGCATTCGACGCTTGAAGGAAGGAAAGGAGGTGCGGAGGAACTCAACGCTTTAGAACATAGAATAGGAGATGCGGAGGAACTCAACGCTAGAAAACAAGAAAGTTGTCCATTGTGGAGGGGGGGGGGGGGTTTGGGGTAATTGATTGACTCCGGGGGAGTCAGGCCTTGAATGGTGATACTTAGGCTGAAGAGATGAGAGTAGCGGAAGAACAACACTAGAAGGAAAAGATAGTAGCGGAGCAACTCGACGCTGAAAAGAGAAAAGTAGCGGAGAAACTCGACGCTGGAAAGGGGTAGGGAGTAAAAGATGTTGAGGAGGTGGGGGGAGAGTAGGAGGGGATGGAGGAAAGAGCGGAAGCATTCGACGCTTGAAGGAAGGAAAGGAGGTGCGGAGGAACTCAACGCTTTAGAACATAGAATAGGAGATGCGGAGGAACTCAACGCTAGAAAACAAGAAAGTTGTCGATTGTGGAGGGGGGGGGGGTTTGGGGTAATTGATTGACTCCGGGGGAGTCAGGCCTTGAATGGTGATACTTAGGCTGAAGAGATGAGAGTAGCGGAAGAACAACACTAGAAGGAAGAGATAGTAGCGGAGCAACTCGACGCTGAAAAGAGAAAAGTAGCGGAGAAACTCGACGCTGGAAAGGGGTAGGGAGTAAAAGATGTTGAGGTGGTGGGGGGAGAGTGGGAGGGGATGGAGGAAAGAGCGGAAGCATTCGACGCTTGAAGGAAGGAAAGGAGGTGCGGAGGAACTCAACGCTAGAAAGGAGAAGAAGGAGGTGCGGAGAAACTCGACGCAGGAAGGAAGTGAAGACTGAAAAGATTTTATACTGGTAGCCTTGGGGAAAAAAGTTTTGCTCCTGTTGGGGTCGGGGTTCAGGCACTCTTGGGAGAGAGATGGGGGGAGATTATTTGCTGAACTGGGAGCGCTGAAAGAGGGGGGGGGGGGGGTGGGGGGGTTGGGGAACAGGCAGAATAAATTTCTGTCCTTGTATTCAAGATAGTGGATGTCGTGAGTGCGAGCTGTGAGGATGAATTGATATCCTCTCCAAATGTATACATGCATCACGCTGATGCTGTTACGTGTAATTGGGCTAGACGATAATAACGAGTAAACGCTTTTATGGAGGCGTTTAAACTGTTGTGAAGTGTCAATAGTGGTATGTTGAATGGAAGTGTATGTGAGCTCAGGCAGAGCGTCACTGCTGCGACAGTGAAGCGGGGGGGAAAAGAAACTCTGCAGCTTCTCTGCTGTTGCAGAGGTGTGGTGGAAGTCAATGTCGGGAGGCGGGTACGCTTTCCCGAAAATGTATAACTGCTGTGCAGTGTTGGGGAGTGGGAAGGAAAGGAGCTGCGCTGTGACAGTGGTGCAATGGGAGAATAAGGCTTGGCTGAGCATCTCTGCTGTTGCAGGTACGGTGGTAATCAGTATTGGAGCATTATAGGTGCTCCCACAAAAATATTAGAAGTGATGTGTGGAGATGAAAGTAAGTAGGGGCTCAGGTAGAGTGTCACTGCGGTTGTTGTGATGCTATGGTGAGTGTAGCTCAGCGGAGCGCTACTGCTATTGGATAGGTGCAGTAGTGATCGGTATTGGAGAGTTTTGAATGCTCTCGCAAGAATATTAAATACTGTTAGTAGTGATATGTAGAGATGAAGTGAATAAGGGCTTAGCTACAGGTGCAATGGGTGAGTATGGCACAGTGGAGCGATTCTGCTGCTGCAGAGGATCAGTATGGAGACAATGTGTGCTCCTGCAGAAGCATTTACTGCTGTATTAGTGCAGGGCAGTGTGACGAGTGTTATTGGACTTGTAAGTGTATAGAGCTTGCTTAGAGCATCCCTGCTGCAGTAATAGAAAAAATTTTGCCAACCCCTAAATAAGTTGGAACTGTGGTGAGTGAAAATGTATGGGTGTATGGGATAGTTTAAGTTGTGCTTACACTTAAAACATTTGAATTGTGTGAGTGGGGGAAGGGATGTTGAAAATGTATATAGGACATGCTTTGCCGAAATAATCGGTTTGCTTGCTTAATGGAGAGAGATAGTGTTCCTCCAGTCAGATCAGATATGGTGAGGTGGATTGTGGGATTGCAACTGATGGTAATTCAGAGAATCTCAAAACCCGAAGACTAGTGTGAATATGGCATTATGGATGTGGGCTGTATGATTGGAAATGCATCCTTGTGTAGATTGTGATTGCATTTGGAACGGATGTGGAGTGTAATAGGTTGGATGAAGGTCAGCTTCTGGGCCGGCTGTCCTAATGTCTGGAATGAGAAACAAGAAAAAAAAAAAAAATCAGAAATTTAATTTACAACATGATACATGTATAGCAAACATGACAAAATAGTTTTAGCTGATATCTAATGCAAGGCATCTTAATAAGAGCATGGACAATTGTGAGCTTCGTTGTCGCAGTCTGCGAGGATGATCGAGGTGGGCATTTGTTCCCCCACAGGATAGCAGGTGGATGCAGAGCTGGGGATATGGGGTGTAGCTTGTCTGGTGGTCCTAGAAATTCTTCTTGAAGATTTATTTAAATGTCCTATTCATGCAGTCAAGCGAAAAGTTAGTTTCTTTACCATTTTCACCTCCAGCCGGCGTGCCATTATAAGTTACATATGGCACTGTATATGCAAGTATGGGTCATTGACGTATTACGATTGGACTTTTGTGTTAAATTCTCACTGGTTGGGTAGTAGTCTTTACAGAAGTTAAATGCTATCAGATCTGGCAGAGGTTTTTATTTATTATTATTATTATTATTATTATTATTATTATTATTATTTGTCAATTTATTTATTTATTATATCAAATCCCAACATCAAACGCTTAATTCACTACTTAGTGGAAACTGTATGAATGGAATGTTAGTTATGGGCTTTACTTAATTTGTTTAAATACATGTTAGGAATCTTAACTTCTAAAATTCTTAACCTTAACTTAATTTGCAAGCATGTCTGTCTCAGTTCATTCACGAGTCTTTTATGGCTGGGTTCATTCATGAATTGTTAAGAGGGCGGAACCATATCGAGTTTTAAAAGCGCATTGGATGAGGGCGCTGCTCCTTCGCTATTGGCTCGATGGGGCGTCAATCAAGATCGGAGGCCAAGTTTGTTCACCAGGGTTGTGTGAAGACACTGCGGCACACCAGCGACTAGTTTGGATGATAACAGCGCGGTCCATCGACGTATCAGTATGTCGTGGATTAATGTCGTGATCTTTGCAGTGATTTACTTATGGATTTGTGGACGGGCTTGAAGGGTGAGTTTTTATGAATCTTCTAATCACGCGAGTCTTGTTTTTAAAAGATTTGTAAATAGGTTTAGTCTTTGATGGAGATGAGTTGTTTCCGCGATGCTTCCCCTTAAAAGCATACTATACGTTACCGAGGGTGCACCGCTAGGAAGCAGTGAGTTAGGCTTTTGCGATGTTTTGGATCGTCGACGCCTAGAGAGTTTAGGTGGAGTTGTGGACTGCGTTTGCGTGAGGCAGTTTGAAGTGGAGATGGAAGAGCTGGTGGGCAGCACCGGCGTTTTTGCGGGAATTCAGGCTCGATTTTGGCGAGGCTGCGGCTGAATTCTCAGGGAGAGTGGAGCTCTGGCTGGAGTTGTTGTTGTTGTTGTTGTTGTTGTTGTGTGTTCTTCCGTATCGATAGGTTAAATGGTGCGATGCTGGAGCGTTTTGTAGCGGGAAGCGAGCTTCAAGACAAAGATAACTGGAGTGGAAAACTCAGGTTATTTATAATGCTTCCGTAATCATCTAATAGGGCTGATTACGGAGCTAACAAGGAGCAGTTCGTGTTGATTATAAGCACGTGATCCTCTCGAAATTAGTTTATGAATAAACCACACAAATTTTCACATTACTTCGAATACATGTTAATGCACGGCTGTCAATCAATTTTGGTGGGCAGGGAAACCACAGTCTATGTCATGTTGCAGTGGGCCTCAAAATGGGATAGGATTTGGATCAGGACACACTATACCTACACACAGTTCTGTCCTAACTGCAAAAACAAGATTTTCGTAATAGGTGTCCTTTAAAATCAAGCCAAAGTAAGTTTTTGCATTGAAATGGGCCATTAAACTAGGTTTGACCTAATATTATGTGCCCTGAACTGCTGCAGTTGCACAAAAGTCATTATTCTAGTCAAAGCAGTAAAGCAGATCATCATTCATAAATAAATCATATTTAAATAAGGATGATAAATAAAGAATAATGTTGTTCCAAAGAAGTTCATCGTTTATCATTATTATAAGTTTATTTATAGAATAAGTTAAATAAAGTCTCTTCATGTATATTGCAGAAAGTACACAAATTAGATAAATCAAAATAATTAGCAATTTAAGAATGTATAGGATATGTACAGCAGTTTGCATTATGCTAATTATCTGTACTGACCTCATTCTGCTTCTGCGCTCTTATTCTGCAAATGTTTTGTTTTTGATTTTTGATTCATTTAGCCTATAGCAGAAATGACCATATTTTATGACTACACATAGTAACAACACACGAGTTTGTAATATCAAGCTGAATTTTGTGCTGTTTTTTTACAGCTAAAAATCAATGAATGTGAATGAGATCTGCAATGTGAGTCTTGAGCCAGTAAGGTTCCATTGACTGCACCCTCTTGAATGTGAAAGAAAAAGGTCAATAGAATGCAAAAACTCAAACACTGAAAACTATGTGAGCACCCAGAGCAACTCATTTTAAACTGTGTGTGTGTTTTACTCACTGACTTTTTGGCACAAGATGAACACTCAGACCAGGGTCCAAACTCAGTCAGCTGGCAGTTTATAGGGCAGGCCTCAACATTACACACTCTATTATCATGTATCTGACACAGCTGGGAACAGCTGTTTTTTAACCAGTGATCATCATACTGGACAGCCCTGCAACAATACATGTACTTACATCACAACATTAAGCTTTACACATCAGATAAATGCTCAATAATTGTTACCTTAAACGTGATTGAGTACCAGAATCACAGGTTTTAGTGCATTGGGACCAGGAACTCCATGGGTAATGATCACAGAAACACCCCATAGTGGGACTTAAAGAAGCCAGGGTGGAGAGTAGGGCAAGGAGAATGCAAGTACAATCCATAGAGAAGACGGCCTGTTGGAAATTGATAGCTTATAGGGGAACACAGAGTTTGTTAAACTTCCAATGACATACATAAACAACTGGCGTCTGTAGTCAAACACAAATCATTAGAATGAATCTTTTAGCTAACGAAAGCAAATTGTTTATGTATATATATATATATATATATATATATATATATATATATATATATATATATATATATATATATATATATATAATTTATAATAAAAAAATAAAAAAATATTGTCATCTTTAAGTCAGCAGATATCAGGGTTGAGGAATGGGATGTTTAAGTATATATAAAATGTAAAAAAAAAAAAGTAGATCTGATTTAGCATGTTACTAGCATGCTTATGTAGCATGTTTTACAGATTGTTAGCATGATTAGCATGCTTTTAGCACTGTAAACATTTCCAACACTAATTACAAATTGCTAGCATTAGCTGCTGACATTAGCTAACTTGTTTTAAAATGTTTACACATTAAGACACTGCAAACTATTGATGAAAACAGGAATTGTGTTGAGAAATTTGGTCTCAGAAGCAGCTTTTAAATAGTAAAATCCTAAGTTGGATTTCCTGAGTAAACACAGAGTAAAATAGAACGCTCTGGTTACTAAAGTAATCCTCGTTCCCCTCCTCGGGGAACGGAAATGCCATTAGTGGATAAGATTTTAGAAAATCCACGTATGGTAGGATTTGGTTCAGAAGCCCTTTGTCTGAAAGACTATGGAACTGGCCAATAAATGCCAATGAATTAACAGCATAAGCTTGCGCACGTGTGCTTCATTGCCAATTAACTCCGCATATAAGCACAGGTGGAGCAAGCATTCGCTATCCTTTTAAGCTGAAGAGACTTACTAACAGCTAAGGGACAGTCATTATGGCGATGGTAAATAGCATTTCCGTTCCCCTCCTCGAGAACGAGGGTTACTTTAGTAACCAGAGTGTTCCCCTTCGGGTGGGGAACTCCAATGCTATTAGTGGATTTGATTTTAGAAAATCCACGTAGGGGAGAACTATGGAAAACGCCATAATGACTGTACCTTACCAACACCTCCGATGAGAGGATAGTCAAGCAAGCGTGACGCACCCACATCATGGGAGGCGCGGTCCTCCAACATAGCAGCCACCTATACCCAAAACGCGGGCTGACCAGCGGGCAGACCTACAACGTAGTGGGCCAGCAAGTGACTCCTCCGCTAAGTCAGTGCTGGGGGCCATGGAGGAATCTGTGGGGCTCACCTGACGAGGAACTTACTGACAAATAAAAAGGCGGACGTATCTCCGTGTTAGGGAGAATGGCGCAGCAAGTGTGTTTCAACACCCTACCGAATTGTTTCCTCAATCACCAAAGTGTTACCTAATACCCTTGAGGAAACCGGCTCCACTCGCAGATTGTAAAACCTTGTAAATGTGTTGGGTGTCGCCTAGCCCACAGCTCTACAGTTGTCTGTTAGAAAGGTGCCGCATACACGCACCCAAGAGGATGCAATGCTCCGAGTGGAGTGCGCACGCACTCTCGGGGAACACGGCTCACCTCGGCTCTGATAAACGAGAGAATGGCATCCACAATCCAGTGGGATAATCTTAATTTCGATACGGCATTTTAATTTCTTAATTTAATCTTAATCTTTAATTTAATTAAAATCTTTAATTAATCTTAATTTCTACCTCCTCCGGAGGCAGAGCTTGCAGGCTCACTACCTGGTATTTAAACGGAGTGGTAGGAACCTTGGGCACATATCGCGAGCGGGGTCTCAGGACGTGAGAGAAAGCCAGCCCAATTACAGGCACCAGTCACTGACCGAAAAATGCCTCCGGGTCCCCGACCCTCTAATCGATATCAACGCGACCAGCAGAGCTGTCTTCTGGGACAGAAAAGATACTGAGTCGAGGATCGAAGGGATCTGACGCAGCTCGTGTAACGAGGGCGAGATCCTAAGAGGGCATGAGAGGGGGGCGGGGTGGATTAATTCGCCTAGCGTCCCTGAGGAACTGGATGATGAGGTTATGCGTTCCCACGGTGCTGCCAGCCACCGCGTCATGAGAGCGGAGATGGCAGCCACGTAACCTTGAGTGTGGAGGGCGACATCCTGCTCTCCAGCTTCTCTTGCCATAAAGAAAGCACAATGCTAATCTGGCAAATTACGGGGGTCTTCTCTGCGAGAGACGCACCATTCAGTGAATAGACTCCACTTCAGGGCATAGGCGCGCTCGGGGAGGGGGCTCTAGCCCGAGTGAAGGTATTAGCCACCGCAATCGGAGGTTACCTAAGTCTTCCTCGCGTCTAAGGACCACCCGGAGGTTCCAAAGATCGGCGAGGGTGCCAGATGGTGCCCTGTCCCTGAGAGAGTAGGTGCTCTCTCAAAGGGAACTGCCAGGGGAGGGCTATCGCGAGGAGGGAGAGCTCTGACATCCAGGTCCGGTTGGGCCAGAGGGGTGCAACCAGCAACCTGTTCCTCGTCCTCCCTGACCTTGCACAGTAACTGCGAGAGCAGGCTCACTGGTGGAAATGAGTATTTGCGCATGCCCCGAGGCCAGCTGTGAGCCAGTGCATCCGTGCCGAGAGCCCTCGGTCAGGGAAAAGAACAACTGGCAATGAGCGATCTCGGGGGAAGCAACAAATCGATCTGGGCTTCCCCGAATCGCTCTCATATCAGCTGAACAGACTCGAGGTGGAGTCTCCATTCTCTAGGACGTAAGGCTGCTGTGAGAGCGCATCAGCTGCACGGTTGAGCTTGCCCGAATGTGAATGGCGTGCAGCGATTTCAGCCGTGGATGACTCCAGAGGAGCAGACGGCGGGCGAGCTGAGACATGCAGCGAGAGCGAATACCCCCCAAGCGGTTGATATACGCCACCGCCGCCGTGCTGTCTGTCCTGACCAGCACATGTTGCTGCTCCAGCACCGGAAAAAAAATGGTGGAGAGCGAGGAACACTGCCAACAGCTCCAGGCGATATGCCAATGCAACTGGGTTCATTTCCAGAGGTCCGCAGCCGCATACCCGCAACGCACAGCCCCCCAGCCCGTGTTGGAAGCGTCTGTTGAAACAACAAGAAGACTGGACGCCTGTCCTAGAGGCACTCAGGCCTGTAGGAATGTAGGAAGCCAGTGCTGAAGTGGTCTCATATAGATTAATCCAAGCGGCGTGAAGCGGCTGCGGATACCATATGCCCCAGGAGCCTCTGAAATAGTTTCAGTGGGACCACTATTTTACTGTCGAACTCTCTCAGACAGTACAGCATCAGCTGAGCGCGCTCTCCGGAGAGGCGCGCTGCCATGGTGACCGAGTCCAGCTCCAGCCCGAGAGAAAAGATCCTCTGCACGGGGGCGAGTTTGCTCTTTTCTCGGTTGACCTGAAACCCCAACAAGTGGAAGTGCCAGAGCACTTTGTCTCTGTGCATAATCAATTGCAAAAATCAGCCAGTCATTGAGATAATGGAGTATGCGGATGCCTGCGAGCCGAGTGGAAGAGTGGGGACATGGAAATACGCGTCCTTCAGGTCTAATGCTGCAGACCAACCCAGAGGATGAACGCACCGGAGGATGCGCTTCTGCGTGAGCATTCTGAACGGCAGCTTGTGCAGACAGCGGTTCAAAATGCACAGATCAAGGATTGGCCGTGACCCACCACTCTTTTGGGCACGATGAAGTGTGGGCTGTAAAACCGGCTCTCCATCTCGGCTGGAGGGAGCGGCTCGATTGCATCTTTCGCCAGGAGGACAGCAATCTCTTCTCGCAAGACAGGGGTGGACAGGGAGCTGACCCTGGTGAATACACACCCGTGAACTTGGGAGGCCGTTTCGCGAACTGAATTGCATAGCCGAGTCTGATTGTGCGTATGAGCCACCACGAAGGGCTGGCCTATGCTAACCAGGCAGGCAGAGCTCTCGCTAATGGACTCATCGCTACAATCGCTGACGTACCAGCAGTGGGGCAGCGCGGAGTGGATGTGGTGATCCGGGAAGCGCGCGGGTCCCACGGAAGAGCTGGAAGTGAGAGATTTACTCTCACTCCGCACCCGAGCTCCGGAGGGGTGGCTCGAGGGGTGGGAGAAAGGAGACCGTCCTCCCAGCGCTCGTGAGCCACTGGCGAAACGCACCGAGCCTGCAAGCTAGAAAGCATAGCGTGCCAGACTGGCAGATTTCGGGCTGTCACATCCAGGGAAGTGGAAAAATGCATGGCAGTAAAAAGTGCCGTTGGAAATGGGGCCCTGCCCTCCAGCATAGAAAGAGCAAGTTTCCTCTTCTCCAGATGGCCTGTCCCAGGGACGCTTCGCGGTCCGTTGCCAGACTTAGCATCATTCTGGGCAGGGGGGCTGCCTGCTTCCGAGGTGCTCGACGCGCTCGCTTCTCCAGAGGCTTGTGCGGGGGCGGTGCAGCTCTTGTAGGCGGGCGCCTTCGGCGAGGAGCAGATATGGATGGTACGGTGGGCGGAGCGGGCTTACGGACTCGCCGATTGGACAGCACCCATCAAACTGCTCTCTCACCGCCTCGAATTCCTGGGTGAATTCACAGACGGTGAAGCCGAACAGGCCAGCGGAGCTGGGAGATAAACCATCTCCAACCCACGGCCGAAGCAGCCCGGGAAAACACGGCTAACATGTCCGTTTCAGGATCCGTTTTGACAGCGCTCACCTGCCCGGAGGGGGCGAGTGGGTTTGGATTATCATCGGACAATGAAAGCCCACCCTCCGATGCCGCGGTGGACGTCTGGTCTCCGGTGTCATTGAGCGTAAGGGCTACCATCTGTTAGACGGATCGCTTCCCCAGCCCAAAGCTTGGATGGAGCAATTGGAGGAGCGGGAGGTCCACGGGCCCGTGGGCGACGGATTATCTCTCGCTGAACCCTCAGATCTGCCTGTGTGCCTGCTGCAGAGCAGGGGACAACTGTGGTGGTTTGCCCTTTTGCAAAGGCTAGCCGCAATCTTTACTGCACAACAGTCATGGCATCGCAATGACGACATGAACTGCCCGCGAGCAGCGCATTAATATGCTGGACCCCCCAGGCATGCAACGCAGTGCCCGTGCCCATCATCCGAGGACAGTAAACCACCGCATCCAGAAACGCACAGTCGGAGCGCCATCCTGAAAAGGACGTGCTGCCCGACTGTGTTGCTCTCTTTGTGAAGTTGCAACTTTATACGCACCGCTCTGGAGGACCTGACCCAAAGAACGCCAGGCAAGGGAAAAACCCAGCTCAACCGTCTGCCGCTGCGTGTACACACTCTGGACCAGGAGAATGCTCTCGTTCGCTGGAATCGCGGGATCACAGCAGGAGGAACCCTCATCGACTTGATCAGAAAGTCTCTGAAGCAAAAAGGATAGCGAATGCTTGATTCACCTGTGCTTATATGCGGAGTTAATTGGCAATGAAGCACACATGCGCAAGCTTACGCTGCCAATTCATCGGCATTCATTGGCCCGTTCCATACTCTTTCAGACAAGTGGCTTCTGAACCGAATCCTCCCATACGTGGATTTTCTAAAATCAAATCCACTAATAGCATTGGAGTTCCCCACCCGAAGGGGAACTACAAATGTACAAGGTTGTTATCTTAAGTTTAAGCAGATATCTAGATTGAAGCATTGATTGTATAAGAGAATATCATGGCAAAATGTAAAAATAAATTTCTATATTTAAAATGTAACGTTAATAAGTGTTTAAAAAGCATGGTTAGCATCATGGTTTGATATAGCATGTTGCTAGCATGTTTGTTGCATGGTTAACACATTGTTAGGATAATTTTAGCATTGTAAACATTACCAACTTTAATTAACTATTTGTTAGCATAAGCTGCTGATGTTTGCTAACAAATAGTTAATTCATTAAAACAGAGATTGTGCTGGGAAATTTGATCCCAGAAACAACTTTTAAATAGTAAATCAGTGTGTTGTATTTTCCCAAGTAGTTTTTCCAGTTGGTTTATTTTTTGGTATTTATCTTCAGGAAATCATTAAAGGCATATATTATGCATAATGATCTAATGTGGCAATAAGATTGTAACTTTACTGCGCTATACTACAGCAGACACTGTGAAAAGGTCATTCCCAGTCACTAGACTTTTCTGATTGGGTATTCCAGTGTCATCGAGTGTCTGAATGCTGTGGGACAACTGTACAGGAGTTATGATTATAAATAATAGATCGCAAAATGTAGCAGTTTATATTTTAGCATTTTTTTAAAGCATAACGGTAAAACACGAACGCCATTATGAATGAATTTAAACAAGCTTGTTTTTTGTTAAAATTTGTAATAATGACCAAAAATACTAATTTGTGGATCTCTTTACTTCCGAATGCTGCCATGCTGCCATTATAGCTGGTGTATTCTGGGAAATTTTCTTACCCTTGGTTTCGAGAGTGGTCCTGAAAAATCTCTGTTTGAAGAGGTATCTAGCCCTTCCCCTTAGCCCTACACCTTTAAGCTAAAGAGAACTGGAACAAGGGCTAGGGGCTAGAATTGGGATTTGGTCTTAGCATGTTGCTAGCACGTTTGTTGCATGGTTAATACATTGTTAGCATAAATTAGCATGCTTCTAGCATTGTAAACATGCTTCCATATTTAGACACTAATGTAATGTAATGTGTATTTATATAGTGTGTTTATCCGCTTGTTAAGTGATGACGTATGTAATACTGTTTCCGGGGCCAAGCCGCCATTCATTTGAGTGGAGAAATCATTCGTTTATGATCACGTTTTATTCCTATCACACATTAAAGTTAATTTTATATAAAATCATAGTGTACACAACATTCTCTGGGCTTGCTGCATAACAAATACCAAAAATTTAACAATTAAAAAAAAATGAATCATTTTCTGACATCGGATATTAGGCATGACCATATATACTTCTATCTTTATTTTCGAAAGTATTAAATCGCTTCGTAAACGTTTATTATTACCATTTCGTGAGCCTCCCCATTCAGTTGAATAGAAAACTTGGACCCAGAAGCCGCTTCGCGTGACGTCACACTTAACAAGCGGATTGTGTGTGGCCATGCACCCAAAGCACTTTACAATCATAAAGCACTAGGTGTGCACCATCCACTTTGATGATGTGACTGCAGCCACAGGATAACAGCACCAGTGCGCTCACCACACACCAGCAACAGAGAAACAGTGATAGAGCCAATTTGGTGGGCGGGGATGATTGGGAGGCCATGATATCTAAGGACTGATGGAGGGAACTTGGCCAGGACACTGGGGTCACACCGCTACTCTTTAAGAGACGAGCCATGAGATTTTTAATGACCACAGAGAGTCAGGCTTGACGTCCCATCCAAAAGACGGTGCCCACTGACAATATGGTGTCCCCTTCAAGTTAACTGGGCCATTAGGACTCAAACAGACCACAGGTTGGACGCCCCCTGCTGGCCCCACTAACACCACGTCCAGCAGCAACCTAGTTTTCCCATGTGGTCTCGCATGCAGGTACTGACCAGGCTAAGACCTGCTTAGCTTCAGTGAGTAACCGGTCTTGGGCTGCAGGGTGATATGGCTATGGCTGCAAAACTATGGTTAAAAACAAAAATTGTGTTGAGAAATTTGATCTCAGAAGCAGCTTTTAAATAGTAAATAAATATGTTGCATTTCCTGCGTAAACAGAGTAAAAAGTACTACAAATGTACAAGACTGTTATCTTTAGTTTCAGCAGATATCTGGATTGAAGAATCTATTGTATAAGAGAATATTATAATTTCTATATTTAAAATGTAAATAAAAGTGTTTAAAAAGCATGGTTAGCATCATTATAGTCTGAAGTAGCACATGGTTAACACATTGTTAGCATACGTTAGCATGCTTTTAGCATCGTAAGCATTGTAAACATCAGCAACGCCAATTAACAATTTGCTTGCTTAAGCTGCTGACATTTGTACAACTTGTACAATTTTAAACATTTAGACACTGCAAAACTATGGTTGAAAACAGAGATTGTGTTGAGAAATTCGATCTCAAAAGCAGCTTTTAAATAGTAAAACAGTATATTGTGAAGCAAACTTTTACTAAAGAAGGAATGAAAACGTGATAAAATATGGACATTAAGCATTCAATAAAGTTAACACATATCCTCTGAACGATTTTTGAGACAAATTACTGAAAGCTAATAGTGTCTGAGATTGAGGAATACTTACAGAATTACAGACTCCTCCAAAAGTGGCACTTTCACGAACAGCTTTTGTGTCCAATCGCAATAAAAGTAAACATGAAAATGATCAAGAATCAGTTGCTCTGGAGCTTATTTTGACCCTTATGAATCGTCTGTCAGCACGCCTTCTTGACTCTCTGTCCAAAATATCTCCATCCCCCTTGACTTCCAGTAAAGCCCTACAGCTGCAACTCTTCACTTTGCCATTTGGCTTGGCTTTAGACTAAGGGAATGTGAACAGGGAGTACATGGAAAACATGTTATTACAGGACTAATTTATTGCCTTTCTACATGCCAAAATAGGGTTTGCTTTATTCTTATTAAATGTTATTTTCATTATTTGTAGTTTTTAGTTTTTTAATAAACAAAATAAAAAATAAACAAAGAAGAATAACAAAAATGCATCAACTAATGTTCTTAGCTTGGATGTGTATGCTACAATAAAACACACAATTACATTAAAAACATAATTATAAAGTGACAAAAAGGGGCTAAAACCATATGTTGATACCTCATATCTAGAAGTATTGTTTTCATATATGCATGTTGAACTATACGTCTTGTTTTCAGAAATAATAAGTCATAATTAAGTGAGTTTTCATTAAAATAAGCAAAATAATCTGCCAGTGGGGTAAGTAAAATAACCTTGTTTTAATCTTCGAATAAGCAATGAGTATTTTCTAGACAAGTAAAAAAAATATATATATATATTTTTTTCTTTTTTTTCTCAGAAATAACAAGTAAAAATTAAGTTTTTTTTTCTTAAAGGGTTGGTCGACAACGATATAATTTTAAACTTTAGGTGATGTGTCATGTAGCTGTGTGAACATAAACAACATCTCTGAATATAATACACTCAAAGTTCAATGCAAAGGGAGACATTGGTTTTTACAAAGTTAGCCTACAGCGAATGAAGTTTGGTGACTACAAAAAATACATCCGGGCTAGTGAGATCACAAACGCCCTGTACAGTGAAGGGGCGTGGCCCGAGGCACTATAATGTTATAGCAGAAAAAGCTAAAATGCCGTCCAAATGCTGCTATTTCCACAGAGCTTCTTTTGTTTCTGTTCTTTTGTTTCTGGAGAATTAAAAAGATATATATAGTTATCATTTGACAAAAGCTAGCTTCCAGAACCTCTCTTAGTTCAGTGTGGGATTCGACTAAAAACTCCTCAAAGAAGGAGCAGCTCCAACCATAATAGACAAAGACAAAAAATGAACTGTCAACTTATCCAGCAAAAGTTTTACACAGCGGATGCCCTTCCAGCTGCAACCCATCACTGGGAAACTAAAGTGTTTTATTTGTTCAAACTGAACTATTACATGCATAGAGTCAAGCATAAATGATATGCTGTAGCAAGGACTTAAACAAGGATGTAAACAACAAGAAATGCTATTTGGCACCGCTAACAATTTATGCAATTTATGCAGTGTCTCTCTTTGCGGCCGCTTTACTTGTGTTACATTTCCAATAACAAACGTTTCATATTGCTTACACATAATTATAACCTGAATATACAGTTGAAGTCAGAATTATTAGCCCCCTTATTTATTTTTTCCCTCAATTTCGGTTTAACGCAGAGGAGATTTTTCCAACACATTTCTAAACATAATAGTTTTTCTGTAGAAAATCAAAAAAATATATAGCTTAAAGGGGCTAATAATTTTGACCTTAAAATTATATTTCAAAAATTAAAAACTGCTTTTGTTCTAGCCAAAATAAGACTTTCTCCAGAAGAAAAAAAATATTATTAGACATACTATGAAAATGTCCTTGCTCTGTTAAACATAATTTGGGAAATCTTTAAATAAGAAAAAACATTTCAAAGGGGGCTAATAATTTTGACTTCAACTGTATGAAAGACACTTGTCAGATTTTATTTTAGAGGGCAAGCATGAGGTTCAGCAGCGTCCTTTTCAGGCTCAAACTGATACAACCACCATTTTAAAACAAGCTAAATATTCTGCCAGTGATGTAAGTAAAAGCATCTTATTTAAAAATTAATTTAAGAATTTTTGGAAAATATATTTGAATGTTTTTCTAAAGCCCTCCAAAAATCCATGTCCACTTATAGCTGTTCTTGGGATATTTAGTAACTTAGAGATGTTCAATAAACATGAAAGACAAGCCATGTTATTTGGTATGGTATTACTACCAAAAGGGGAATTTTGAGAATGTGAAAAGCTGAATCTGTACCTAAATTTGGTACGTGGGGAAGAGATCTCGTAAACATGATTGCTTTGGAGAGGTTGAGTTATATCAATAATGAGAAACATTAAATAAAAAATACAATCAAATAAAATATTTGATAAAACATGTGGAAAGATATTAGAACACCTTAATGCATTGGAAGAAATGCAAGCATAACCAATGACAACCGTCAGTAACATGGTACTTTAAGATCGAGTGTAACTGATATTTATAATCTATAATGTTTGACAGTAGAATTAGGATTAATGCATTTTGTTGGTAATATGAGAACAAAGCTACTTTATTTACTTAATTACTTTTATTTAAGCATTACCTGACCAGCTAAATTTTACTTTATACATAATGTTTTTTCATTTAAGACTCTTTAGATATTATGAAAATGTCTTTCAACCTTTCACCATTTATTTATGTGTCTCTTTAAAGATTGAATAGCACGTGAAATTAATGAATGATGAAAGAATTTAAAATGAACATGGGGAATATTATATAATTCACTTTTAAATTTGACATGTTTAAACGTGACATTGAAGTATTCTTTGAACTTCCTTTCAAAGAACTAAAGTTTACTGGAAGCAAACAGCAATACTGTACAGCGTGAGCATCAACACAGGTTCAAAAAGACATCACACTGTTTATATTTTATAAAGATACTTCGGTTAAAGTAGAAAACAACATGCTTTTTTACTATAAGTATGTCATGCTCTCACTGTCGCTTTACTCTACAGGAATCCAACAGCGCCCATTTCTCAACATCGCAGTCATGGAGAGCCTGTTTTTATTCAGACCCTGTGGAGACCGTCCAGGACATTCCTAATGGCTCCAAGCTTCTTGTTGGAGGTATAAGTGGGAGCTTAAAGGGATAGTTTACCTAAAGATATAAAAGTACTCACTCTGAACTGGTTCCAACCCTTTATGAATTTCTTTCTGTTGAACACAAAAGAAGATAATTTGAAAAATGTTAATGTTGATGCATGACTTCCATAGTAGAAAAATCAAATACAGAATTCAAAGGTTACCGATTTCCAACTTTTTAAAAAAATCTTTGAAACTTAAACAGGTTTGTGACTGAGTATGACAGAATTTTGAGTTAATGCATATGAGATGTGACATACCAAAACATTCGCTACACAAATGTGCCTCTTATACAGAGATAAGCACAAATAGCTCAAAACACAAAGCTATGGAAATAATTAAGAAACCAAAACAAACTGTTGATTTGTGCTTTACTTTAAAACTACAGCATAATAATATTAGTTATGAATAGTTTTGCTAAATGTTTTATTGAGATGTGTTGTTGCTGATTGAATGTGTTGGATCAATTGGGTAGCTTTACGTAAACAAAGGAAAATTAAGCCCTGTTTAAATTCATTTAAGACCAGAAGACAATATTTCAGTGAATTTAAGACTTTTTAAGGCTTAAATATTTGTTTTTGAAATTTAAGACATCTTAAGGCTTTTTAGACCCCCACGGAGATCCTGAAAAAGATAATTCATTTGCAAATAGAAAAGAAGTAAAGTAAATAGAATTTAAGTCAATTTAAATTTCATTATACAAAAATATACACAATTTGCAAGCCACCGTTTGAAGAAAGAGAGTGCAGTGCTGCAACATTTTTATTTTTATTTTTCTGTATAATAAAAATTAAAGATATAAAGCAATTTGTATGTTTTTTTTTTATTGCTATCACATTAACTTAAATGCACAGATCCAATGTATTGATTCATTTTTCTCCCAGTTGTTTGTGTTCACTTGAGACGAAACCGACTGAATTTTACATAAATATTGACCAAGACAGTTTTTAAAAAAATAATAAAACATAGCTAAAAGAATAGCACATTTATTGTGTATGGCCATACACCTAAAGCACTTCATAATCGTGTGTGTGTGTGTGTGTGTGTGTGTGTGTGTGTGTGTGTGTGTGTGTGTGTGTGTGTGTTCGTGGGGGATGGGGGGTCTCTCCACACCAACACCAGTGTGCAGCATCAATGGGGTCAAAAGACAGGAAAGCTCCAGTTTTAGAGTAACACAAGCGTTTTATATGCTTTCATGTGTGACTATTATAACTATATAGAGCAGGGGTTTTCAAACCTTTTCAGCTGAGGGCCCCTTTGTGTAGGGCGAACTCTTTTGGGGACCCCCCAAAAATAAAAATGACGCCACCCCCTCAAATTAACAACTGTACTTAATTTTTTTTAAATTGTATTATTCAATACATTTATATTATTATATATTATTCAATAAATTTATATTATTCTTTATCTGGATTAATTTTTGTAAGATGTTAGTTGAGTTGGCATGGTTTTAGTGCTTCAATTTATTGATCAAATCTTGATGCGCAGTACTCATTGTGGTTTGCTCTCACTGAATTATTCCATCAAGCCATATTTTGTGTACATGTCGTCACGTTTACACAGTTTTTATGCCATTTTTATGCTTTTTTTCAGCCTATGCACAGCTAGACTCTTCTGTATTTACCCTTACAGCTGAGAGTCTAAATGTATCTAAAGATTTAAAGCTTTAAAGTTTTAAAGAGTTTTGTCATTCATCAGCCTGTTAACAGTTAACTGTACTGTTGTAACTAGCAATACTACAATAGAGGCTGTAGTGGTTCAGTGTGTTTTGTTTATTTTTATTCCTTTTTTTTTTTGTGCACATCATAATTTACTCAGGTCGACAATCCTGACTTACACTGATAAAAAATAATTTCCTAAATGCAATCTAGAATTGGGTATTCAAGTTCAAAGAGCCACAAGTTTTACTTTGCATAATTTTAGAAGCTTTGCTGACTTTAAAATGTTCATACCAGTTTGTTCTATTAATAATAATACTGAACATTACATTTAAATTAGTTACACAAACAAATATGGGAAAAAGTGGAACAAAATGCATTTATATTCAGAGTATTAAAATTTGATCAGATATGTTGAGCTCCATTAGATACAGAGCACTAATACATTTTAATATTTAATAATTATTAGCCCTATAACATAACACAAACAGATACATTATAATTTTAAAGGCTATAGTGCTTTTACTCAGTGTGTATACAATTTAGTTTTTTTAAATCATCCAGTTATGAACCAATGTGAGTAAGAGGTCCACTGCAGAGCTCATCCAGCTGTCATTA